CGACTGATTTGGGTGGTACGTAGAAAGGGCGACAGCGCACTGCATTAAAGGAAAGGAACATTCATGTTTTCATAACCGCTGGCCAAGCTCCCGGTACATTCCTGAGTGATGCAGGATAGGCGCCGTCTATAAAGTACAAAACCAAGAGCATAAATGCTCAATTATTCCATCCAAATGTTTCACTCTTTAAAAAAGCTACCAAATAGTGCACACTGAGCCGTGAAACACACAAACCACACTACTTTTACCTGCTAAAAACATTTTAAATGTTAGATATATAAAAATAATAATAATAGCAGTGGTAATATTAATGTTATTAAGAATAATAACTTGTATTTTGGGTAAAACCCAAAATATTAAATATATGTACAATTCAATGCCAAGTCCAAAATTTGTCATATTTCTAAAGGAACTACTTTCAGTATTTATTATCATAAAGTGATGCAAAAGAAATGCTATTGAGATTCAAATGTGCTAATAAATCTGTTGTACGTAAAATACATTTCAAATATAATGGGTAGCCTATGTATTGTTGCTGATTCCAAAAAGAATCTTGGATCCTAGATGTTGGTTTATTCATAGGTGCTGATACCTTTAAGTCAGCCGCCACATGCTTGCTCTAAACAAAAAGTGTAGAATTGTCATCTTGCTATAGGTAAACGATAGAGGGAAATCGAAAGATCCAGATGACATGACCCACGCTCCATTCATTCGTAGCTTTTAGTTTTACATATACTGGACAGCAGACACAGATTCAGTTTTTCCTCTCCTGCCCACTGGGAAAGTCCAGAGCTCCCCATAAACAGTACATGCCTGAGTGATGATGCAGGATATGGGCCGTCTACAAAGTACGAAACCAGAGCATAAACACTGAATTATTCCATCAATTATTCCATCCAAATTTTTCACTCTTTAAAATGTCACCCAGAAAGAGAAGGCCCCTGCTGTGTGACCAAGGAGACAAGTTAACCCCTCAGCCTACTTCAAGGACTACGAGCTCAGTGGACCTGGGTCTCATTGACAGCAACCATGGTTGCTTACCTGCACTCTCAGAAAAAAAGGTACAAAAGTTGTCACTGGGGCGGTACCTTTTCAAAAGGCACCTCTTTGTACCTATAGAGTCCATATTGGTACCTTAAAGTTACATATTAGTACCTAAAAGGTACAAAAGTGTACCTTTTGAAAAGGTACCGTCCCAGTGACTGCTTTTCTACCTTTTTTCTGAGAATGTGCCAGGGAGTACTAGAGGATGAACCAGTCCTACAGGTCATTCCAGATCCACTTTTGGTTATTGTCATGGTGTAAAGAACAGAAACTGCTCTTTGTTAATAATTGGAATCTTTTCTGGGAGCATCCTAGGCTTTTTCGTGCTGATGGCCTGCACCCCAGCAGAGTCTGAGCGGAACTCCTGTCGGACAACATCTCCAGGACGCTGTGCTTGTGATTAAACCAGAGAAATGTAAAATAAATGAACAAAAAAGTTTTTAAAGTTTTTAAAGTTTGGGCTCCTAAACATTAGATCACTCGCACCCAAAGCAGGTTAGAGGATATGAAGCGGGAGAATGCAGCTTTGCAATGGCAATCCAGCCAGCTCCCTGAGATTATTTCTGCATTCCAAGAGATGCGTCAACAGAATGCAGCACTTTGGCATGAGCTTCAAAGCTTGAAATCGAAGCGGAGATCTCCACCTCAGTCAATCCCTCCACCAATACCATCACCACACTCTCCCTCTCCAGCAGTCAACCTTCAGCCTCCACAGCCATATTGCACAAAACCAGCTCCACGTTCCAGGCTGCCACCACCAGACACTAAAGGCTTTTCACACTGCGCTTAACCCCGGGTTATCGTCATTCTAAACACCGCTTTTAACCCCGGGTAAAGAAACGTTTTACACCTGTAATTTGAAAGCGGTGTTAGCACTGCTTTTGACCCGGGGTTCTGAGACACTGCTCCGGAGCAGGGTTAGCACCGCATTTGCAGTGTTAACCTCGCATTGCGGTGCTAAGTTTGTTCAGTGTGAAACGGAGCGGTGTTTGCTTGTTGCTGCTGGACGCTTGGCAACAGACAGCCAATCAGAAATTGAGCAGCGAGGCTCATGTCACGTCAGTAACAGGAAATGTGCGTCGTGTAAACATCAGCTTGTGAGAGAAAAGTAAGAAATGTCAAAGATGGAAAGCATGTGAACTGGAGTGATGAGGAGACGGTATTATTCTTACAGTTATGGTCAGAAAAGTCTATTTAAGACAAATTGGACGGCACGGTCAGAAATAACAGAGTATTTAAGGAACTGACTGACAAATTAGACCTACGTGGTGACATTTTTATTAATAACTGGCAAGACACGGGAAAAGCCATGTAAACAGATAGTCTGCTGTTCGTCCAATCAGTGACAGTGACACCGCAAATATGCAAATAAGAACGTTAACCTGGGGTTTAGGAATGTACAGTGTGAAACGTCTGTTAATGAATACCCAGGATTAACAGTTAACCCCAGGTATAGTATGAGGAGTGTGAAACGTCAATACACTGTAAAAAATGACCATGAATTTAAAGGTAAAAGACTGTTTTTTTGTTTTTTTTGTTCTTAGTTTTTTCTTATCAGTTTTTTATATTAGGGTTTTGTGTTGCACCTAATGTTGTTAAATTAATGTTTATTGCATTATTTCAGTTTCATGTGTGTTACCATGATGATGTTTAGTGTTTGTGTGAATGACACTGTGCACTTTCTATATATGTTATTATTTAAAAGCTGTTTGTGATGGGCTTTGGTTCATCACGTGACTTTCTCATCACCACCTGCATTTGGTGGTTATCAGTGTATTACAAAGGTACAAAACAGATTTCAGTACTTCAATAGGTTGGTATATTAACATTATATCACTTAATGAAATTACGGTATTTAACTAAAAATAAACTAAAAGTAAAACCTAAAATGTAGCTTTTTTACCGTAAATTTTATGGAATTTTTTTACAGTGTACAGCTAATTCACGATTCAGTTTATCCGGGGTTTAGGATGACCCAGGGTTAACAATTTCAAGTGTGAAAAGCCCTTAAGAGACAGCCATGCCCAGCTGTGCCAGAGCTGACCGAGGATCTGAGAAACATGAACATTTTTTCCTCCTCACATGAGAGAGCTTCCTTTACAGCACATTATGGCAACTCACCTCAATTCAGGTATGCTAACTCTCCCCCATATTCCCAGCCACTTCAGCTGCCTGAGTTTGTGGTCCCATCACAGGAACGGAGGAGGCCAGCTAACGCAGAATACAGCTCAGATAATCTATTACCCTCATCTACTCATGAGAAGACCTACAGAGGTCCAGCGTCTACCATACCCTGCCTGACGTCTTCTGACCCTAGGGAGCTTTCAAGACTGAGAATTTTTTGGAGAACACCCTGCCTGATGATTCCACACAACGCTTTGGTAAGTTAATATTCCCACCTTGCTGGACTTCGCTGACTGGCTGGAATATGAGCTTCAAGTACAGGAAAACAATAGCCAATATGCTTGTCACCCAAGGCAGGAATTTTCAGTGCACAGCAGAGAGGTGAGAACATATTCTAAGCAGCCTCAGAAACCAACTACCATTCTCCTTGGGACTGATAAGTCACAGCCCACACCGATGCCGTCAGCCATGTCTAAACCAGCTTCAGTCAGAGAAGAGAAGTTGAGAGCTTGTTGTCCATTCTGTGACAATAATAAACATTATTTAAATAACTGTGACAACTTCAAACTTCTCAACAAAGATCAGAAGATAGACTGGATAAAGATTAAAAACCAGTGCTGGCATTGTGGTCGTGGACATCAATCAGCTAACTGCACACTTAAAGACTCTCTGCCAAACTTGTAACAAAAAGCACCTTTTGGCATGGCATGATGTCAATGACCACAGCAAGCCATCTCAGCAGAGTGCAGCTCCTTGCAGTGCAGTTTTGTTTGTTGACTGCCCAACCTCCGGCAGTAAATTGCTGCTCAAAGTGACTAAGGTTCTGATCAGGAATGGCAACATGGCAATGGAGGCCTATGCCGTATTAGGTGATGGACCAGAGCAGACCATCAATCTGCATGAAGCGGTGCAGAAATGAAGACTTGTGGGGGAGCCAGAGGACCCTGTCAGTGTCCTGCAAAATAAATTCAAGCATTATTCCGGGTTACCCTTTACATCAGTACAGTACAGATAGTACAGAGATTGTGGGACAAACGTAGGGAGTGGGATGACCCGCGGCTGCCAGAGGACCTATTAGACTCACACAACAAAATTACAACAACAAAAAAAAGAATAAATAATAAAAAATAAGTAAATAAAAAAGAGGGAAATGGAAGGATGAAGGGAAGAGAGCGAATGATAAAGGGAAAGGAAGGAGGAAGGGAAGGATGTGTTTGTTCAAATTTCATTAGCATGTGTTGTAGCTATAGTTCTGTGAATTAAGCTAATATTTAAACGTTTTTCTTGGAACCAGAAACAGACTATAATAAGGACTTGGAATAAGCCAAATGCATATACTTTGGATTCAAGATTTTTTATATTTTTTCTTTAACACATTTATTAGCCTAATAATACAAGCATATAATAAACTACTTTTACTATTTAAAAAAATATATATATATATATTTAATGTTGTACTCTGGCAGAGAGCGTTATGTACTATTCAAATACTTTGATGCACAATTTGCTCTTGTTTTTTTTTTACTTTGAAAAAAAATTAAAAATAAAATTAAAAAAATCCAATGGTCGACCATTTACCGTTCCCTCCTTCGACGTACTTTGTCGACGGTCCCTAAGCGCCAGCGCGTCACTGCTTGGTCCTCTCTGCTTTAACCACTGATATTATTGGTTGCAACACATTGAGGCGGATTAAAACAAATAAACTACCTTCTGTATTCAGTTCTACGTATTAATACTGTACAAATAAGGCATTTTTATACAGTTATACTCATCCACTAAGGATCTATCTACGTTTTTCTCGGCTGAATATCTGTCAAAAGTCCAACGTCAACCTGCAAGCCAACTATATCAAGGTATTGGACTTTTCGTCTTATAAAAATAGTATGTATAGTATGGAGTGACAACCCCATTTTCGGCGAAACCGATGTGCTTGTGTGAACAGACTAAATCTATAGGATTATATACTTTTATACATTTGATATAAAAATATACTTTTCATGGCTTTCCAATGAATATAAAAAATATCAATCATGTATATTTAATGAAAAAAAAACCCCACTAAAGCTAATTTAATGACACTAATTAAAAAAAAAAGTATTTTAGAAATCCCAACATCGTGTCAGATGAAAATAGCACATGACTCTCTGTTACCCGCTCTACCAGTTTTGTATAGCCTATATAATTTATATAATTTGCACTTATTCTTAGTAGCTTTCTCACATAACCAACGTTTTTTGCTCACAGTTTCTTGCATTTTGGTGTAGGCTTTTTCATCTAGTCAACTTGTTTGCAAATCAGACTGCATTAAGAAGGTAAGATATACATATTTTATATTTAACATAGGCTACTGTAATAATACATACATTAACAGCAGTGTTCGAATTGTGTCAAGGCTCTTGGGGGGTCCCCCTAACCAGACCCCCCTCCCCCTTCAAAAAAAAAAATATTTAAAAAATATATATATATTTCTCCACAAAAATCTATGTAATAGCAAACTTAGCACGTTTATAGCACGTCATATTTTTATTTTTGGGTTTATAAATGAATCTTACGTAATTCATACATCTGGACTTTGTTGCTTTTGATAAGAAAATTTGCCAGATTCATTTAGCACGCGCAGGCAAAAACTCACAGGTTTCAGCTATGGCTAATGTGGACGCCTATGATTGGCCATTGTGTTCATAAACTCAACAGAATCATGTGTGATTGGTTAAAATATGCAACGCTGTAAAAACGGTAAAAATTGTGATGTGACATGAGCAGGTCTAAATTTATTACAACACTTTTCATTTAATTTTTATTTTCATTAGTTTCATATTTAGTTTTATTTATTTTTTTATTGTTAAACTGTTAAACTGTTTCCCGAACCATAGTAATGTGATGAAATGTCAAGTGAGGCATGGGATGTGAATCACCTGGAGCAAAGTGAATGGACCGATTTGTTTTCAGGGGCAGACAGAACTACTTTTTACAGTCAGAGCTGGCTAGATTACTTACAAATTGTAGTCTGTTACTCATTACAGATTACATGATGAAATCTGTAGTTAGTAACGTAATCTAGATTACTCATGTTAGATAATGTATTCTGAGTAATTTTTAGATTACTTTTAGATTACTTTTATCAAACTTGTTTTAAACCATTAAATCAAATTAAATGAGAATATAAGAAAATATATTCCATTTTTTTTATATCAACGTCATAAAATGCATTAAACATTACATTACACCAGGTTGCAAGAACTGCAGTGGGTTTGTGAGTTGATAAAAAGCTAATAATTAATTAAATCATAAAAATGTAAAATAAAACTAACTTTCAATGAGACCCAGGTCCACTGAGCTCGTAGTCCTTGAAGTATGCTGAGGGGTTAACTTGTCTCCTTGGTCACACAGCAGGGGGGGTCTCTATGGCGGCAAATCAATGCCATTAATAAGCGAGCGCACATAGACGGCCCATATCCTGCATCATCACTCAGGCATGTACTGTTTATGGGGAGCACTGGACTTTCCCAGTGGGCAGGAGAGGAAAAATTGAATCTGTGTCTGCTGTCCAGTATATGTGAAACTAAAAGCTATGAATGAATGGAGCGTGGGTCATGTCATCTGGACCTTTCGATTTCACTCTATCATTAAAACTAATAAAACTAACACTAAACATATACATTTACTTATTTTAATTTATTATAACATTTTATTTGTTGGTTTTGATTGCTTCTATTGTCCACATTTGTAAGTCACTTTGGATAAAAGTGTCTGCTAAATGACTAAATGTAAATGTAAATGTAATGTGACCATTAACCAACATCAAAGAACTGTAATCAGAGCTGGTTAGTAACTGATTACATGTAATCTGGATTACGTAATCAGATTCCAAAAATAAAGTTCTTGTAATTAGAGTGTTACATTTTAAAATTACTGGTGATGTATAACTTTGAAACACAGTCGTCATCATATCCAGTGACCCTAACATTTCAATAATCTAAGAACACATTCGCTTGTTTACAGTAACATGGTCACACTTTTACTTTACTTACTGTTTATCACAACAAATGGCCAAGCAAAGCGCACGACACTGACAAGGTACGCGATACAGTATGAGACCAAACGCGATTTCAGCACATCTCCACAGTAAACAAAACAAGCGTTTCCTAGCAACGACAACTGCGCTAAACACTGAGACAAGAAATAAATACACTTACAAGCTGCTTTTAACTTCTGCTGATTGACTGCTTCTCACAAATAGTATTTCTTTACACTGTTTTGCTGGCGCTTGAACACACTTTCCTGTTTATCACAACAAATGGCCAAGCAAAGCGCACGACTGTAGGTGCGTTTCCATTACAGATTTGCGCAAAACGTTGGCGATATTTTATAAATGTCGATAAAAAAGTATTGCGAAATGACGGCGTTTCCATTAACCAATGTTATGAGACTTAAACGTAAACTTTTGCCTCTCGCGATAAGTCATGGCAATGGGGAAGGCGTATAAATAGCCCTCAGGATGGGCAACAGCTGTGTGTGTGTGTGAGTGTGTGCACAGGTGTGTGGAGTCAAGGTAACGGAGTCCGGGAGGATAATAAGTGGCGACCTCTGGTGGTGAGAGGGAGAACACCAGAACCAGACCCCTGACAATAGGTGCATTCGACTTGAAGCACGGCTACAGACGGTAGTCAACAAGAGCAGCCGCTTGCAGTCGGGGGCAGAGTTGAAAACGGAGCCGTCAAGCCAGACATTTCTGCTCCCGTTAGTGACGCTCGCGCGGTGTTTGCATACTCTAGCACTGGCCAATCAAATGGCTGTGTCGTCATCAGCACTCCTGCAGTCGCTCTGAAAAAGCTGCGCCAGCTGAGTCAGCCGGCTGCTCTCGAAACGCTATCGCGGTACTTTGATGCCACACGTGACAGTGACGTGGCGTCGGCGCCGGTTCAAGTCGGACAGAATTTCTAACCGGCATGAACTGCTTCAAGTCAGCCGGCGATCGGTTTGTGCGGCGCCGCATGAAGTCGAACGCACCTAGTAGTACATTGAAGAATGATCATATGACTTTTTACATACGCCATGTGACCTGTAAATGCGAAAAAGCCGTTTCCATTGCAGTTTTGCGAATTATTCTTTTTTCGCATTGCCTGAAAAACCACCTCATGCGAGCGTAAAAACTTTTTTGCGATTTATGGGCATTTTTACGAAATTGACGCGTTTCCATTAGGCGTATTTTCAATTCGCAATTTCAATTTGCGCAATTTGAAGGGTAATGGAAACGCGCCTACTGACAAGGTACGCGATACACACGCCTCACACCTCCGTCATTTGAACCACATTGGTTTAATAAAATTGGACTGTCGTTAATAATGCTCAGGTAGTGTGATTCAAAATCGCAATTAATGTCACATTATTATAGTTTGTTTTCACAAACAAAAGAAAGCGTTTTTTTTTTTAATCACTTTAAGCAGTATTTGTTGTACATTTCTCTGACATGCTGCTGTTACGATATGAGAATTACTTATTTTGTTCCCTGCCTTTGCTTGATGTTATATTCACATGCACACTTTGATGCACATGCAAACTTTTCAAAAGTGCAGCTGCTTTTCGACATGCTTATATATATATATATATACTGTATGGAATACAAGATGTAGATTGTACTGAATGTTAGCTTGCTTCTTGTGCCCAAGAGCATGATCAATTTAAGTCCACATTTCAACAAGAAACTATGTGCTTCTAACCACAGCTCAATAGATGTACTTCCATGTAAGTTTGCAATGTTGTTTGCAGATGTTTATTGGAACTATTGTTTTGGCCAAATCGCTGAACTATGCCAGTAATGACTGAACTTGTGACAATAGTTGTCAAACAATGCTTTTGGGAAACGTACCCCAGAGTGGTGAGTCCCCAAGACCAGGATTGAAAACTACTGTCTTAACATACATTTGGTTTAACAGAAGACAATTTCAATTTCCATAGAGTTTAATAGATATTTTTTCTTGATTTGGTGCTCAGGACTCCATTGAGAGCATTTAAAAAAAAAGGAAAAAAAAAACATTTAGAAAGTCGTTATAGGGTGATGTTTCCGTTGCTGAAAATTCTTTTCACTTTGCTTTAAATTGTTATTTTTGTACATGTAAAAGAACAGTTATTTTTTATTTCTTCTAAGGGCAAACCCAGGAACATGATGGGACTTCTGCTTTTTCAATTGCTTTTACAAGGTAAAATAATCTGTTTTCCTTACTTCTTCCTATAGTGGATGCAACTGAGAAGGGTATACAGCATGAAAACTTTCACAGAATTTTTAAAAGTGCCCCTATTATACTATTTTAAAGGTTCTTAAAGTCGGCATGAAACGGAAGTTGCGATTGTCTTTTCTTCTCAACTGTGACGTACATCCGAGTGAAACGGCATCTGAAATGAGAGGGCGGGACTTGATTTTGTCCTTCGGGAATTGATTGGATCGTTGGAAGGTGGGGCGTTGCAAACAAAATGGAGGCAGACCTGAATGCCAGTTTGCAGTTAGTGGTGGGGGATTTCTCTCCACTGGATTCACAGCCGACACCCAAGCATGAATAAATGTTTTATTTAGTAAGGATGACGATGACGATCAACGGCACAAAACATGCCTAAACAGCGCGCGCG